ATACAGTAGTACTAACGTTACCGTAACTATTACTTCGAAGTACTACGTAGTACTACGTAGTACTACGTAGTAGTACTGTGTCAGCCAAAGAGTTACTTTGGACGGATATGGTAAAACGTGGTACACGTGACGTTTTATATGGGATAACTATGCTTTAAACACTTAAACGCATTTGAAGGTGTCGAGAAAGTACCGTCCGGAAATTAATGGACACAAGCGCTTCGACCATCTACCCAATCAACAAGATGCGTTGCACTTGCATTTGCCTGTGGGAGTTGCAACTTGTAGCTATCGAGATCAAACTTGCACTGGATAACTAACTCATTAGTAGGTAATCCTTACCTGTGTACATTTATGTACACAAAGTAGGAATGATGCAAACACAGAGTATGATACTCATGAGTTATGACTCTCTGTAAGGTAGATCGGGGTGATTTCCGTGGAGCCATTCGCTGACAGCATTATCATACTAATGAGGCCCCATCAACAACTTGTGCAACACTATCGCTCTCCATATACTATCCAAATCATCAAAACTCCCCCTTCCTACTTCGCAAAATATTTATTATCAGCACCATTACGTATGCGAGAACCACAATTGATGGGTATGTGTCAACGATAGTTACCTGGATACTGTTAGTTACTATACTACTAGTACGTAGTTGCTATTAACAGCCTACCCGGTAGAAACGCTGTTAGGCTTCACAGTTTGGAGTGGAAACATACATTTCTGAACACACAAGTAGGTGTATGTATAGATTCATATAATCCCTAAAATAGTGTGGGATTGGGTCTCTAGTTTTTTCCTATTCGCGTTGCTTCCATGGGATAACGCTCGTACATTTCGAAGTCCCACATCACTTCGTCCACTTGCGACTGGTTCACGATAAACTCGACGAGGGCTCTGGCAGTCACACGCGCTTGATCTTGACCACGAACTTGAGCGGCGACTAGTTGACTTTAACCAGACTGCATCAAATTCGAGTAATAGTTGGAGAATTAGCCCTCCAAGTATCCTCTCCACGAAACAGTTTTGGCCATAACATGTCGCCTTTAAGTTCCAATATCAAATCCAACTGTATTAATCAAACCATGTATGCTTGATCCTACGGGCACCACACAAACGCGGCAAAGGCCTTGCAATCTCGTTGTTGATAGGGTACGACTTGCTTGGTGAGGGGCCACACACACGAGTTGCGCTTGCCGTCGCATTGGCTAAATGTACCTGTAGTGGTGGTGGATGTTACTGTAAGGGGCGCCATGGTGGCAGGTGCGCGTTGGGGGGCTGCGGGGGGTGGTTTGGTCGTCGAAGCAGTAGAACGGACGGAGGTACTCGACTGAACAATAGAGCTGTTGCGAATGTTATCATACTGGGAGGTTGGGTACTCGAGGTTGTTTTCGTGAAAGTCCATGTTGTCCTTGCCAAAGGTGGTAAATGTTTGAGTAATGAGGGAACGCGCAGAGCCGGCCGGTGCGTCCGCATCCCCCGCCCAGAACATTGCCCCACCCAATTTGTGTTGGTGGATGTACGCCAGTTTGGCCTCTAGACTGGAGGGAGATTCATACGATACAAACGTCCGGGTGTCTGGGTTGTAGCTGTAGGCCGCCACCAATTTTGTGTCGTAGTACTCCACCGCCCCTGGTAGGGGTAGGGCTTTGAAGTCCCACACACCAGCCCCGTCCCCATTTCCGGCAACCCACGACCCCTGGTTGGACGGAGCTGTGAACTGCCCGTACAACCCGTCAGTGTTTTCAAACGATCGCCCGTACAGAGGCATCCCGAGCACAATCTTGTTGGATGGACACCCCCCTTTGATGTAATCCTGCACGGCCTTGTCGACACTGTACTTAAGCCCGGGGGGGTGCGTCGGGTCTTCGTACAAGTTGGCCTGGTGGTCCGTGTATTCGCTCCAACTGCCCGACAAGTCGTACGCCATGACATTCACATGGTCTACGAGCGCACACATAGCCTTGAAGTCCCAGTGGCGGTAGTTGTCTGGGCCCACGGGGGACGCAATGCTGAGTTCGGCCGGGAACGCCAGCGCTTTAAACTCGTCTCGGATGGCTTGGAGCAGACCTACGTAGTGCGCAATGTCGTCGGGGCGATGTGGCACGGCGGGCTGGGGGTTGCCCCCTTCGACGGGGTACTCCCAGTCCAAGTCGATAAAGTCTAACCCCAAGTCCAGCATCATCCCCACCGCACTGCGCGCAAAGTTGCGACGGCCCACATCCGAATTGGCAATGCCGCTGAACTTGTCGCTTAACGTCCACCCGCCAATGGACAACCCAAACTTGGTGCCTCGGAACTGCTTCTTGAGCTTATTCGCTTGGCCAAAGCTCCCGTACACGTTTTTCTTGCCCAAGTCATTCCACGAGTCCCCGTGGTCGATAAAGCGCTTGTCCGTGGCGGCCCACGTGTCGTACAAATCGACCGTGCCGTCGTCCCGAGGCCGACCAAACGCGTAGTTGACGTGAGTGATACGGGACCAGTCCAAGTCGAAGATGCCAAAGTTGCGCTGGTAAATCGCCCATTCCATGTAGTACACGACAGACTTGAGCTTGGCGGCGGACGCGACACTGACCGCGACGGACAACAATGCTGTGGCAACAACTTTCATGGGGGTGACGAGGACGGACGCAAATTGCAAACTACTTAACTTGCCACTGGAACTAAATCATGACAAAAGGAAGTCCCCTTCAAAGCGGTTTCATTCGGATGATGGGCCTTGGATTTAATGCCACAGTATTTCGAAGCCCCATGTTCTTGTTGACATACACCCTGTAACATATACCTTGAGAAGGGCTCAATTCAACCGAAGGACCTTGCATGAAACAAAGCATATTAGCACTACCCATGCTTACGTATTACTACTTCTACGTAGTATTTTGATTGGGTTTTGTCTGTATCGCTATAGAGCGCTCGTCGCTGTCACGATACACGTCGGTTTCGTCGGAAGACATGTGAAAATCTGAAACCGCTTCTATTTATAGATTTGACCATAGATACTCGCTGCTTCGAATACATCACATCATGCTGACGGTGCACAGCTTGGCCATTAATGTTACCACATATATATATGTATACGCTTCCTGAAGCATACCTTTATTCATGATGCTCAACCAACCAACGCGTAAATTTCACTACATGTTGCCCCGTTCCATTTGTTATGTAGATGGAGGGACCTTCCATTGAAAACATGTTCTAGTTTTTCTCTCCCTCGATACAACTAACTTGACATCACCCAACATCTCCACTCTTTCGACCAAGAATTGTTTCAAGAGCCGAAAATGAAACGGTCGACACTACTACATCAACCCTCTCAGCGCCACTTTACAATTTGCATTCCTCTCGTTCCCATCATGCGGTTTGATTTCTTCGCTTTAGTGTCGGCATTGGCGGCATATGCAGCATCCGCAGCCCATACGTCAAAGGGGCTACATCCCCTCCACGCCGCCCACTCGAACGCTGCGTCGTCCACCACATTGCCATCGACTCGCCGCCGAATACTGCCCCCACACACTCTAGTTGGGTACTGGCACAACTTTGCCAACCCGTCAGGTCATACGTTCCCCCTCCGTGACATCAGCCCCGACTGGGACGTGATTGTGGTGGCATTTGGGACGAGCGTTGGAGGGGGGCGCGTGACGTTCCAAGTGGATGCCGACGCGGGCACGGAGGCCGAATTCATCGCCGACATCGCGACCCTCCAAGGGCGGAATAAGACGGTGGTGCTGTCGCTGGGGGGCCAAGACGGCGCCGTATCCCTTGCCAACGCCGTCGAAACCACTGCATTCGTCGACACAGTGTCTACCCTCCTAGTCAAGTTTGGGTTTGACGGACTCGACTTGGACTTGGAAACTGGCATCTCCCAAAACCTCCCCATTGTCACCAACTTGATTACGGCTGTCAAGCAAATCAAGCAACGAGTAGGAAGCGATGACGCGTTCTACTTGAGCATGGCCCCCGAACATCCGTACGTTCAGGGCGGCGCAGGGAGCTACGGTAGCATCTGGGGCGCGTACTTGCCCATCATCGACGGCCTCCGTGACCACCTCACCCAAATCCACGTCCAGTACTACAACAATGGCGGCTTTGTATACACGGACGGCCGCATGCTGCAGGAAGGGACGGTGGACTGCCTCGTGGGGGGAAGCCTCATGCTTATCAACGGTTTCGAAACCAATTACGGTAGCGGGTGGCGCTTCGAGGGGTTGCGTCCGGATCAGGTATCGTTTGGGGTACCGAGTGGGGCGCAGGCGGCCGGACGGGGATTCGCGACGCCCGACACGGTTCGGAATGCCCTCACGTGTTTGGCCCAAGGCGTCGGCTGCGATACCGTCCGCCCCAGCGTCCCCTTTCCCACGTTTCGAGGGGTTATGACGTGGTCCATCAACTGGGACAAATTCGACCGCTTTGGTTTTTCCCGCCCGGCTCGAGCCGCCCTCGATGGTTTGCCCCAAGTCGACCACGTGGGGTCGAGCGACAAAAAGGTGGTGAAAAACCCCACGGCGACGTTAATCCCAATTGCAAAACCAGTAGCCACAGCAGCGCCAGCCCAGGCCAAGAATTGTGGCGGCTGTGACAACTGCTATTTCGCCCCCACATTTGCTTGTTTTTCAGGGTGGACCAAAGCACAGTGCCGGTCCGTGTCTACGTTTACATGGTGCGGCGGCCAAGATTAATGAATTCGACGATTTACTCTAGTTTTCCATGGCTGTTGGCGCATATATATCGTCATTCCAACGTTATAGCGTATGTACATAATGTGTTAACCTCCAATTCTCAATTAACGAACATAACGAACCTGAGGTAATATAGAAAAAGATCTTGAAAAAACTGTAGCGCAATATTGAACGAGGGATACGGAAACGTCACAGGTTTGAAATGTCTTATCTTCTTAGGTTCTCAATGACTGCTTCGTTCGATGCATGGCTATCTCTATAGAGTTGAAAGAGGTCTTTGGCGCATTGACGCGGCAAATTCGGCGGAATCATTTGCACGTCGATGCGTCGTAATTGAGCGACCAGTTGGACAAACTCGGTTCGCGGGACTTCCTTGGCTCCTAGCGCCATTTTGTATGGCATGGACATACCCAAATCCCATAGCTGGAACCCTCGCTTGTGCAGATACGAACCTAACGCATACAACTGCATCGTGCCGGCACCGTTGGTTCCTGTGAACCCGGTCAGACTCGTGTACATGGCGCCGTTGGTGTAACCGAGTTCCCCCGCGACCAATTCGTTCTGGTCGTTCCATAGCTCGATGCTGACTAGCTGGACCTGTCGACCTCCTTCGTTGAGAATTGGAATCCCGCCTAACATGGCGCGAAAGGCGGTCACGACTGGGGGATACAGCCATGCCTTGCCGTGCTGGGCGTGGCATCCTGCAACGACGTTGTCGAACGCCATGTTGATCGTCATGTGGAAACCTTTCGCCTTTTTGCGGACCTGTTTCGGAATGTGCAACGATGACAACGGAGCAATCACGCATCGATGGGCATGCAGTTTCGGCAACAGATAGCAGTGGCGTCCTTGCTGCATGGCGATGGGAAGGAACCCAGCGTACATGACTTGGCCTATGAAGGAGGGGTCGAATGTCCGACTTACCCAGAAGTCGTCGTGGTAGTGCTGCATCCTGTCCTGCAACTCCAAAGGCACGAACGCCATGCGGTCGGTCGCCATACCACAAGGAATTATTTCAAAAATGGAAAGATCAACCATGTCCCCGGATAAAATTATCCGGATAACATATTTGTGTCCAAATGTCTACTAACGTATACTAGTAATTATACTAACGTTAGTACCAGTAGTAGTATTGCTCAATTAACCGGCAAGGATTGTCGGTGCGGATTGTGTGTAGTGAATATATAGCGATACTGTAGTACAGTATGCTGCGGGCGAAGTGTCGGGCGGACTCCACGGCGGCAACCGCTTGGGCGGCAATTCCGTCACCGAATGCGTGGTCTTTGAACGGCTGGCAGGCCAGCGGGCGGCGGCGCTCGTCACTGTACTCTTAATACAGTATTAATAGTAACGTTATCAAAATCGACAGATCGGGTCACTTTTTCATCCTTGGGCATTCTTCTGATTATATAATCGGCTTGAATCACTTCATCTTTGCGTTCATTTACTTTGATTTCCACTCAAATCAAGGCAAAATAGGAAGGACGGTTTACAGTATTATGGTGCACGGCCTAACCTGACAGTTATATGCAGTTTTTGATTATTCTTTGATGATTTCGTATTTCTAGCGATTCGATTGGCTATTCATGAATTCAAGCTCAATTCCATTGGCCAATTCAAGTGCACTTTAAACTGACCCGTGCACCATAAACTGGACTGTACTATCTTCTATGCAATACTACATAGTATATGTAGTGTCTGCCAAAACCCCGAAACCCGCAACCACAATACCGTATAAATTTAGTGTATATATATTGCGACGGATGAATCTATTGCGACTCCTGTAATAACTGATAATTTTCTTGTAATAACTGATATTTACTTAAGTACTTGTGAATATGTTGAATATACTTCAAATTTGTATGACGCAATGGATTAACAAAATTTTGAGAATGAGTGTCGGCTGGTTGTGATATATCAACTGTTGTACATATACCTCGAAGTACACTATATGGTACTAGGAAACGCCTTCGACGAGTCCAAGGGACGATATAACGTTAACGTTACTACATTACGAAGGCAAACAACACGTGGTGTTAGCACGACATGGTGGCGTTGTCGTCTGAAAAATACCACGCGAGAAAGTCCTTGGTTGTTTGCATGTCTGTGGGCTGGGGGTCCTGGATCGGATATGAAAACATGTTCGTTGATATGTCGACTTGTTGCACGAGGGCACGCAGGATTTCGTTATGCCGTTTAATTGTTTGAAGCAGTCGCCATTGGTTGTGCACTTGGTCGGGCAAGGGAATCGCGGTGGGTGGTAGGTCGTTGTGGATGATGTGATGATGATGGTGGAGTTGCGACCGCATGCTGTGCATGAGTGTAGCTTCGTCCATGCTGTTGTGCGGTGGCGGTGGCACCATGAGTTGGGTAGACGATGAAAGCATGCTGTACGTAGTAGTACTGTGGCAGGTGTGGCTAATCGACGAATGGACAAGTCCGTAAACGTGATGAGTACGTGGTGTTGTAGCCGCAATTATGTGAGAACCAGATGGGCCGTCAACTTTTAGTGATGCCAGAGACCATCCACAGACAGGATTAGGTACTGTACGTTGAACTGTACACACTCCCCTCCAATCCAAAGTAGTACTTCTGGACTACTCAACTTGGCAACCGCTTAACTCCTTGTTGAGGAGGTTGGTGGCTTGGCCCTATAGAACAATATAGCAAGGTACGGTAGTATAACAGTATAACGTTATGCTTCGTTGAATTCTATAACACGCAGCTCAAGATTGTAATATCAATGGATGCCACAGTGGTTGCCACGCAAGGCCATCCATAACGTGGTTATGACGAAGCGGCCGCCGTCTCAGAACATCGTCGTGGACGTTTGTAGGACTGGTCGACACGATTTCGCTAGGTTGACTAGAGGCAACAAAGACCACGGTTCATACTGACGACATATCACGACTCAATCATGTCGTAATAGTTAGGAGCGATATGCTACCAAGTATGGAAACCTACGATTGATAGTTTCAAAGGTGTGGCAAAAATTCGTGGACACGAACAAGTCAGTGATGATGATGATAGAGCCAGACCGGATCTTGCGCGTTTCCGACATTGTGAGGTCGAATGCTGGTCGGAATATCTAGATACTGTGTCTCAGATTGGTCCAGAAGTGTGTGACGTTATTTGAATACTGTAGGCAGTGGAAGAATTATTGGACGAGACTATTGTGAGCGAATCTTCATAAATGTCGACGTACGAATTCCGACTGGATGGATATCAAATTAATTCGGAACATGCAATAATATTCGTAATTTGAATCAATTCCATGTCCCATTGAGGGCTCCAGTTTCGAATCGATTTGACAATAACGTTATTGTAGTACTTCGAAGTGCATGGGACACTCCAATCACCTGCCGGTATTTATTAGGCCTGGATTGACAGTTCAAAGCTAAGATATCCTGCATTGTATGCTGGTCTATTCGTACTCAAAATTTCCATGGGCGGTTCTTAAATCACCCCAATGACAAAAAGTGGGATTTCCCTCACAAAACAATCGTTACTCATCACCCTATTATGATGCAGTTTCCTGACCTGAGTAAATGGACAACGATCCAATCTTGCAGCATTAACACTTGAGTGCGAAGGCCTCGTATGCGAGTCTCTCCGCATCCCCAGCACACCAATGTACAGTACACATAGACATATTAAGAACACCAACTGGACGCCCGCGCTACCGCAACATGCAACTACACGTCGTCGTACTGCCCAGACAGTTGTGGAAAACTGAATTGGATGTTCTGCCCATATCTTCGAAATTCTAACCAATGAAATCATCGCGGCTATATGTTGGCGATTTTCATGGCTCACAATTGGCAAGTATAACCGGAAAGAACAATACTTATTATAGTATTATAATAATACCGGTAGTCTGTACTTTTCATCAATTGCTCATTAACCAGAAAAAGCAAGGTGAAATAGGCAATTTTGTATGGAGCGCAAGGTGAACCACCTTTCGAATTCCATAAATAATTCTCAAATTGTATAGTTTCAATTAAATATATCTTCAAGTTTGTATTGATGATTATATTTTTCATGTGTATGTCTCTTTTTGGAATTCGCAAGGCAGGTCACCTTGCAAATTCAAAATTGTCCAATTTTGTCCAATCAGATGCCGTGAAATCACGAAAATCGCTGCGTAAATTCATCACGCCCTGTTGCGATATATTCTACTCCTGTGATGGCGGTTGATGCAAGAAGCCTTGAGATAATTGTAGGCTGTGTATGAGAGCAAGATCATGTGATGTGGTATTCAGGACTCGGTCAATTCTAACAGGTCTAATTTCACCACTTGCCTACTAACCCAATGAAATTGGTCATCCCACATTCCACCATCCAGCCCGTGTCGGTACCGTGCATCTCCCTGCCGGTGTGATCACGTGGTTGCGCGGGCGGTGGCGCAAGACGTCTTGGTGGCACCCATCGCAAGTGCTGAAGTGGCAGCTTTAGCACTTTGCGTTTGCGATGGGTACTACCAAGACCTCTTGCGCCACCGCGTTGGCCCACCAGAGCCACCACGACATTGCGACCCAACCGAGCGCACAACATAATGTTAGCTGTAAGGGGAGATTCACATTGGACATAGTCGGAGTGCACTCATCAGTGCACAATTCTTTGGAGCAGCATCACACAAAGTTCAAAATTGTAACCTCTTCTGTCAGTGTTATAGCCAATCGTGTGTAAGTAACAAGGTTTGATAGATTCTGATTAGACATTAAAAAGGGGCTCACCTTGCGAATTCCATTAACAAGTCATTTGACATGTGAATGGTATTAATAATAGCACAACTAGTGCTATTGCTTGCCATTATTACTACTGTAGTATAATATTTACTCACACGGGTACTACAGTTGGTCAATAAAGTACGATTTGGTGGTACTGTCCGTTTGGGCGAGTCGAATGCAAAGAAATTTTCCACTGGGCCGATTTTAACGCAGTTTTTTTTAATCTCATCGTCTTCGATCACATATTCTGCTTGCAGAAGCTTCAAGACCCAACTACAAAACTATGCTCTGCGTTCGCAAGCAACGATTCCAGCGATGAAACGTAGTATTTTAATGAAGTAGACTATTTAAATAGTTAGACTTGCTCAATACTTTTAATAATTTGTACCTCTATTATAGTAATACTATATATTATTTAACTTTTATTTTATTTTAAGACTCAAGTATAGTATACTCCGATGTACCTGTTTTAAAAATGCGTTTGCATTAAGTACGTTCCATTAGGTGCTGAAACTTAAAATTTCAAACCTGGTGGAGTTGTATTCATTTCCAGGCAATATAAAACCCCTCACGGACTGCACGTTAAACTCCTGAATTCAAATATACCTTTGGATCGACGAAATACCTGCTAGGGTAAAAGTTATGGGAGAAACCATTCTTGCATTCCTTCCGCCCAAATGGACAGTACATCGGAAGAATTGCATTTGGTTTCGTACTCAAGATCGCGATGGGATACAAGGCGTTCGTTGGTGCGCCGCTCATCATCACGCTGGGCGACTCGATCACTCAAAATGGCGCGAACCCAGAGATCCTTGGTTACCAAGTGCTTCTGAACAACGACTACGTGCGCAAGGCGGACGTCGTGAACCGCGGGTTGTCGGGGTGGACCACTCGCGGGTGGCTGCCCAAGGTTCCTCTCTTGCTCGAGGAGTGGCGCCACAAGCCGCCCAGCTTGATCATGATCTTCCTGGGTGCCAACGACGCTGCGTTGATCGACTCCCACGATAGCCAGCAGCACGTCCCTGTAGATGAATACGTGGCCAACCTCACGCATATGGTGTCGCTCATCAAGACTTCGTTTCCTCAGTGCGAGATCCTCTTCTTGACCCCTCCCGTCGTGGACGATGCACGGTGGCCAAGTCGCGCAAACCTGGAAACAAAGAAGTACGCCGCAGCCTGCGTCAACCTCGCGATCTCCCTTCATCTTCCTGTCGTGGACTTCTGGACAAGTCTCCAGGGCCGCACAGACCTCCTCGCGGACGGACTGCACTTCAACAAAGCAGGGAACGTAGTGGCGCATCAAATGATAGTAGATGCCATCGCCGCGCATTTACCGCACTTGACTCCCGAAGCATTGCCTAGTGAGTTTTAACAAGAGCTCGACAACAGAATGTCATTTTGAGAAAAGTTTCATTTTCTTCAAATATTTGTAATTTTCAGCGTGTTCTGTGTCAAATATTTCGCCTTCTCTCGAAAACAAAAAATAGTGATAATTGGATAATTGGTCGATGTACGGATAATTACCGGATGACAGTGGGTACATACTGTACTGTGGGTACTTAGGAATTCTCGACTTCGGATCTTCTCATGGGCTTCGTGGCGTATTGCCGACCTCCGCTGATCGTAGCTCTGGGCGACTCTATCACCCAATTCGGCGCCGACCCAGCGTTCCAAGGGTTCCAAGCGCTGCTGTCGCAAGACTATGTGCGGAAGGCGGACGTCTTGAATCGTGGCCTCTCGGGGTGGACGACAAGGTGGTGGAGGCATTATTTGCCTCAGCTCGTCCGTGAATGCGGTGATAACGCCCCCGTGTTGGTGCTCATCGCGCTAGGTGCGAACGATGCGTCTCTTGCGAGCGGTGAGTCGCACATTCGGCATGTTCCCTTGGACGAATACCGATCGAATCTCCGCGACATCGTCCATGAACTTCGCACCGCTTTCCGCGAATGCAAGTTTCTGTTTCTGACGCCTCCCGCCGTGGACAACACAAAGTGGAACCCCACTGACAAACTCAACGCAGTCACAGAAACGTACGCGAAAGCATGCGTGGAGGTCGCGTCTTCCCTCGACATTCCAGTCATCGACACATGGACAGCCACCCAAGGCCGATGGGACTTGTTCCGCGATGGGGTGCATCCCAATACCCAAGGCAACCTCCTCTTCCACGAACTCATCAAGTCCTCCATCGCCACAGCGTATCCCCACCTAACGCCATCAGCCCTTCCCCTCGACTACCCCGACATTCCGATCTAACACGTCTCATTCTTCATTACTGCTTGGCCGGATGGTGGTAAATGGTGTCCTGAGGCATCGCATAGCACTTGTACCCGAGAAGGCCGGCGACGTAGCACAGTCCTTCGGTCTCAATGCCGTCGTACCCTTCGAATGTCCAGTCGCTGCCGATCACATGATGTGTCGTGAACACCACCCCTTGGCGGTGGATGTCTGCTTTCACATACAACATTGTGCCTACAAAAGTATCCAAATATATGTATATATATGTCAAAGTTAGCAATAGTAATTAAATATATATATATATATGTTCTGAAGAAATTTCGATGAACCACAACTACACAAACAAAACCCCTTCATACACATGTGACAACAGGCATTATAGTTGACATGCCTCTACGAAAGTATCCAAATAAAAAAGATAAATAAATATATATATATCTACAATATATATATATATTTATCTTTTTAAATGTGATAGGTTGAAATAGTATAACAAATATATGAATATATATTTTATATTGTGAACCCCAACTACACAAAAAAACAAAAAAACAACCTTACCCCTGCTACTAGTGACACCCTAAATATATACAGCATATACACTCAATGCATCCTACTATCCTATATATATATATACATATATATATCGATTCGACACAAACCCAAATAATAATAATAAAACGATTCCTATGCCCAAAAAGTTGAGTAAATACTCGATCATACATACCTCCCACGGAATCGAGCGGGTGATACTCGTGCCAGCGCATGTCGTTCATGTGCCGAGTAAATCCGTCATTTAGGGGTCCTGGCACAAATGTGAGGTCCCCTCGACGGAGGCCATCGAGTTCCAACGGCGTCGGCGTCTTGCGGTGGCCGCGCCACGCGTTCAGGTCGTAATCAAAGTTAGTGCCAGTCAAGTGACACAGTGGCTGCAAAATATCTAATTTGGCTACGCAAAAACGCCATTTATATAGGACGCAATATATATCAAGGACTTTTTGTATAAAGATATTCAAACACGAGAATAATCAATATATATATATATAGTCTTGAACCACACCCGTTTCACAAATAAGGGTCTAGTATCTCGTCGTCAGAACAAGTGTATGTTGTGGAAATGGGAATATATATATATATATATATATATATATAGAATAAATATCGATGGATAATGTTGTGCAATGTCGAGATTATCTATATAAGACTATATATATACAGTAACGAATCATTGATACATTTATCCAATCTAGAGATTCTCTAGGTAATAAATATACTACGTATGCGAAGCTTACTTCTGAAAGCTGGAATGTACAGTGTATACAAATGTTGATAAGTACGAAGCACATACAAACGCTTAGACTGTAGAGATTCCATAGTTTGCAATGATCGATAAAAGAAAAGTAAAAGTCTATTGTGCTTTCGAGTGAAATTTCATTGTGTTGTGGTTTCTCGTTGGAATTTAAATCGATTTGATTGGCTACTTCAGATGAGCTCAAAATTGTTAGCTAATCAAAACCTTCTCAATGAAATTCAACAACAACCAATCAGATCGATTGTGGATCGGTTTGGTCGGCGCTATTCGAAACCCAAATTTGTATCAAATCGACAATAATTACCAGCGACCATTTTCGCCACAAGATAGCTAGGAACGATGGCAATATCAGCATCGATCCAAATTACATGCGAGTGCCACGGCTCCAAGCTCTGCGACAGCGCGTAGTTGCGATACCGTGCCAACATCCGCCGCCGTTCCTTTTGAACGTGGGCTCCATGTCGGGCTTCTCGGGATATCGAGGATAAGTCATTCCGGTAGATTATGGTGGCTCTACATAACAACATGATCACAAGAAATCGATAAACCGGTTTGATTAAGTTAAAAGTGTCTGGCTAATTAAATAAATAACAACAACAAAAAATAAAAGGCCATTGATTAAAAGTGTCTGGCTAATTAAATAAATAGTAACAACAAAAAATACAAGGCCATTATTCAGGACAGAAAAAATCCCGATAAAGTAGTACAATATACTAATGCACCATACATTGTTCAAGTGTGCTATTTCACACACAAATATTGGAGTCGTATAGCATGGAGAATATGCAAAAACGTGGTGACAAAAAATAATATATCGGGACAAAACCATCATGAATATATGGTAAATATATATATATATATATATATATTCGTACTGGGCCCATTGATGTGTGGTTAACACTGTATGAAGCAATTGCTTGAGGTTGTCGTACTCGTCCAAAGACGAAGTTAGGATGCCCAACGACAGCTTGGCACTGGGATAGTCGAAGGATCGCACGAGCTCGAGGAAGTCTTGGACAGAGCGACCAGAGCCCCATGATTCCTATATACATGAGGGAAAGAGATGGCAGGAATGAGGGATCGGACGTACCTTGTTATTGTACACGACAACGACGAGCACGGCGTCGTCCATGTATCGGTCGCCTTCCATGACGCGGAGATTGCGCAGACGGTAATACAAGGACACTTGGTGTGGGTTGTCGTCCGTAGGGATGGCCATCCTCGTTTCAAAGGCTTCGATCGCGTTCGACGACAGCAACGCCCGACACCGCGCGGTGTCCATGACACTGACCATGTCTCCTTGGTTGTGCGATGCAGGAACGTGGCGAATAGAGCCGACGTTGGACCCAGCCACGGCGTTGATGTGTTGGAAGCATTCACGATAGACATAGAGGGCCGTCATGCAGAGAAATCCGAGCACGACCCACGGCCACCGGCGCAACAACCGACGTGGCGCATGGTTCCTGCGCATCATTGTTGTTGTTGTTGATACAGTATGATGGTAATCCCATTTCATATTCGGATGCAATTGGCTAAATTAATAAGCCTACGCGTTGTGTGATTCGCTAGAGCAGTTGAATATTAACCACTCATAATCCAGTAAGTATCAATTGTTTGGACGAATTTGGGCTGATTTGCCAAATCGATCGATCCATGTGATTGGTATCACACTAATTTAATCCACACACTATTTAAGCATTGACGGTGGTTTTCTGCAATCTGATTGGCTTACATTCTTCTCTTCTGTCCATTTGGTTCTTGTCATGTCTTACTATATCAAGAAGCGTAGGTATAACCCAGCCAGCCCAAACTCTACCGCAGGTTGGTTGCCTTTCCTCCTCTGTCACATACTCATTCGTCATTAACTATATAGTGTTAGGTCGTCCAACACAATCGTATGTCGTAAAATACCCACAAGTCACGTTAACTCTATCACAGCACTTTGCCTGCGACGATGCTCGCAAACACTATCGCACCAAACCACTTGTTGGACCCAAATCGATGCTGCAGGTTCACAGGGTCATCTAGCTTGGCCGTGTTGACCTGCCACGCCAGCTGCAGCCCCGACAGACCCAGACCCATGTAAAATGGAGCGCTTAGGTCCGCCATGTACCCCGCCGACGCTAGACCTGCGACGGCCGCGGCGGCAAATCCGTTCAAGATGGGCTGGGTATGATCCCCAAACAACAAAGCTGTCGACTTGATCCCCACGCGCTTGTCGTCCACCTTGTCCTAACGTTAAGCAGGCTTAGTAGGAGTACTAGTAGTACTACTAGTCCTTACTTGGTGCGCATACAGTGTGTCGTACACCAACGTCCAAGAAACTCCCGCCGCGTAAAGTGGCAACACGACCGACCACGCGCAGCTCCCGTGCACGGCTGCCCATCCCACCAACGCACCTATAGTTTGTTCCGAGTTAAAAGATATGGTCCAAAACGTCATATCGGGATTGATATATAAAAGTATGGTCATAAAAGCACCATATCGCGATCGATATATCGTTTGCATAATCCATATCGCAATCGATATAGAATGTAGAAAACACAACACCGTATGGAGATGGGATGATATCTTGTCGATTCAAATTGGAGTGGGGTTCTTACAGTTCATCGAACGAGCAGCACCAACCAAATCGGCAGACAATCGATCGACCAATCAAAACGCAGATCAATAATCAAGTGGCCAATCAAATCCACTCTTCGACCAATTCAACGTTGAATTAGTGTGTGACTGAAATTAGTGTGACACTGGACAATCTTTACATACAAAAGTCAGTACAAACAATCGATGGATAGATATTGGCAAAGAACCAGTCCAAAAGTCAACCCAATTTGGGGTCAAAGAAAGACAATATATATATATATACGTATGTACTTGAAGTACTACTTAGTGTACACACTGTATGGTCGCAACGCAGTACCTCGAACGCCATATCGCGATCGATATATATCTTATTCAAGGTTCAAGACACCATATCGCAATCGATAAATGCAATCAGAATGTCGAATCCACGCCCCCGTATCGACACATATATACAGTGGTTTTGAGCACCCACACACCAGTTGATATCGCGGTAAGCTTATCGATATATACTTATCGTATATGGTGGGTGTACCGTAGTTGAACGTGAGGCCTAGCATCGCTTGCGGCCAATATGTGATGCGCTTCATATACGGATACGCAACAACAAACCCAAGTGATGTCGCGCCCAAGCCAATCGAATATGGGTTCAACTGCAATAACACTGCCAAGCTATAAACCATATGTGTCAGGTGAAACCCCCTTCCAAATCGAAGGTGGTTGGTTTGCCTACCCCGCAGACAATTGCACCCCCAGAAACGTCCATGCTTGACGGTACGTGAGCGCGCCGGACGCGAGCGGGCGCTGGTTCGTCCGCTCCACTTGCTTGTCAAAGTCCTTATCCCACATGTCGTTGATCGTGCATCCGGCACTGCGCATGATGAGGCTTCCCGTGGCGAAGAGCGCGAGGAGCGTCGGGTCTGGCAACGCTCCTACCGGCGCGGCCAACGCGGTGCTCCAGAAGCACGGCCATAGAAGCATGTACGTGCCTGCACAACACCATAACGAGCAGTCAGTGGTGATATAAAGAGTATCGAATGGATACCTGCAGGTCGATTGATGCGCGACAGTTGAATGTATGGCACCATCCACTTCGGCGCGTGCTTTTCAGCCCACGTGTGCTTCTCCAGTGCAAACGGATTTGGCTCGGAGTGCAACTGAGGCGGACGGTGGTCGCTGGAAGTGCTGAAGATGCGATGGTGGACATGCACGTCATGCACACGAGGAATGAGGTATCGTGCGTGGGCGTAGTAGCGGCGACGCGCTAACGCCAGGCCTTGGACCAGCGGCGACGTCCATACACGCACCATGATGTGGAAATGCGATCTTACGATTGGTCCATCCAAATAATCCACACTATTTAATTCCTCGTAATGCAGTTACAGCATACACTAAATAGAATCAGACTATTTAGATTCACATGATTTAGTGTTGATAAATATCGCCTTGCGATTGGCTCATTCGACCAACGCATATTAATTAGTGTGAAACCAATCGGCGGCAGCAAAGCAGCTCATTTTGCCGCCAAAGTTCCGCACAGCATGGGCAAGGACGACGTGACGTTCCCACTGCTGCGCAAGACGGCGTCCTGTGAATATGAACATCACCGCTTCATCCTCAAGAAGAAGACGTACGACCAGCAGTACTCGCACATGTACGTGAGTCGTCTGCGGGCGCTGGAACCCCAGGTCCGCGCGAACATCCCGCCGTCGTCGGCGCATGTTCCAATCCTGCCCAAGATCATTGACCTGGCCGCGGGCGATCAATGCGTAATCATTGGCACGATCTTCAAGGTCCTTGCAAAGAAACCCAACATCCTGGACGAGTTCGTGGCGGATGAAGTGCTGGTGCTGCAGGAAGAGTCGACGTGCTTGGCGTCGGACGACGATCAACTGTTGCTGGAAGATGAGAGCGGCCGCGTGGCGCTGTTCGGGAACTTCCGCATGCAGGAACTCGTGACGGGGGTCGTCGTGGGTCTCCAAGGTGCAATGCGCGACGACGGCGAAGGGTTCGACGTCATGTGTGTGTTCACCCCCACCTTGCCGCCGCAGCTCCCACTTCCATCTCGTACGTCTATCCCAGATCTACCAACACCCCATCATTCATGGACACCGTCGTTAGGGTCCGACGATGCCTACGTCGCGCTGGTGTCGGGTCTCGAAATGGGCAGCGACACATGCGATCCATCCAAGACATCCCTCGTCGTCGACTACCTCGCGGGCCGCGTCGGCTCTCCCACCGAGAAGCGCTTCGTGTCTTCGATCGTTCGATGCATCATCGCCGGCAATTCCGTGTCCAAGCCCGCCAAAAATACCCATGCATTACCCGTACGTGTGTAGTATATTGAATCATACTTTAATGATCTGAAATAAGTACACGATGGTTTTAGATTTAAATATATATTTCGTACTGTGGTGTATAATATTTATGTTATTCTTCATCCATGACGGATAATATTTTATTAATTTTATATCCATTCAATTTTTTTTTCATTGATGATTTTCCTTGGATATTATTTCCGTGTTGGTGTTTTAGTATCAAAAGGTAGCATGACTCAAAAAAAATTTTGCCCTATAGTACATAGAGGACTATATATATATATATATATAGTACATATACTATGCATGCTTCGTACACTTCTACCTATAGTACATATAGTACATGTATTTATGTTTAGTACATATATATATATACTATTCATGCTTCGTACGATATGTATGTACTGTATATACTATTAATAGTTATACACACACATATAGTATGGAACATAATGCTCCTATTGTTGTGTTTCCATAATATTCCTATCCCTAGTGCATATATCTATGTATATACATATATATACTTCGAAGTATAACATAGATATGTGCACTAGGGATAGGAATATTATATATATACGTATATATATATATATATAACGATTCCACGTGATATATAGAAAGCCTCCGTGGCCGCCCTAGCCCAACCGCTCGAACACATCGACGCCCTTCTGTCGACATTAACCTCGTCGATGCCCGTCGACGTCATGCCCGGTGCGTTCGACCCGAGGTACCTCCTCTACCTACTACTAGTACTACTACTAGTACTCCTCCTACTAGTCCTATAAACTGACACGTCGGTACTATTAGTAACTTTACGCTGCCCCAGCAACCATTAGCTTCGTGTTTATTGCGCCAATCAATGCAAACCACAGCCTGCCATATGCTGCCGAATCCCGCCCAAGTCCAGCTGGACAGCGTCCAATTCATGGGGTCGTCGGGCCAGAATGTCGACTCGATCGGGCAGTGCTGCACCGGCCTCTCGGAGCTCCAGCGCCTCGAGATGGTCTTAAAATGGCGACACTTGGCGCCCACTGCGCCTGATATCTTGGCCTGCTACCCCATGCCCCTCGAGGATTTGTTCGTGCTTGATAGTACACCGCATGTGCTGTTTGCAGGCAACCAATCAGCGTTCGCCACGTCACTCGTCCACGGTACGGATACAAAAAATCTATCCGAAACTCATTTTGTATTGTGCTTTCGAGTGAAATTTCGTGTTGGGTGTGGTTTCTCGTTGGAATCTTAAATCGATTTGATTGGCTACTTCAGAAGAGCTCAAAATTATTAACCAATCAAAACCTTCTCAATGAAATTCAACCAATCAGATCGATTGTGGATCGGTTTGGTTGACGCGATTCGATTGCACCCCCTCCCCAAATTTGTATCAAATCGACAATATTATTCTATTTTTTAAATATTGTGTTTGGGTTGATTGACTCGAGGGATGGATATACATATATATATATATATATATTATAGCGTGGATGTGTAGGCGACGCCGGTCAAGTGACTCGGGTGATTTGCGTGCCGTCGTTTGCCCACACCGGCATGATTGTGCTCGTGAATTTGAAAGACTTGACCGTGGTGCCCCTCACATTTCAATAACATATATATATAAATATATATATACACGAATCTCACAAAAAAAAACACTATGTGTTCTTGCATCGAATAATATTAATAATAGTAGTAGGGAACTGCTGTGTTGGATCGTTGTACTATTAATAATACTATGTACTAATAGCTATATATTGTATACTACTAGTACGTAGTATTGAGAATGTTTGGCAAATGTTCAAGGCGGCATACTGAATTCTTATGGAAGTATATGTATTACTAGTCCATACTACTTCGAAGTAGGTACTGTAGTACTAGCTAGTACGTACTATTAATACGGTAAGTTAGTACTACGTAACGTTAGAACAACAATGGATACTTCGAAGTAGTATTTTAGTAGTACTATTTAGTATTCCTATTGATATTATCTTTGGGGGTTTGCAGATGGGCCATGTACTACACATCTGTGGTCGACAGTTAATAACATGTATGTGAGTGCACTTCGACGAGTTCGATCGGGATTTGACACTGGCACAACGTACACGCCACTGTCACGCCCGTCTCCACCTACACGTATATAATATAGACGCCCCTCTAGCAACTGCATTGCAAACCACGAAATCAGCAGCAAAAGTAAACACGTACCGCCACCACGGCAGGCCGATCGGCCAGGATAGCTTTGAACCTCACAGGTGTCGAACTGTCCATGACCGACGCCATGGACTGGTGCAGCGCTAACACTTGGTCGTGTTGTTGAGATGGGTCGATATCGAGCCCAACGATGCAAAACAGTTGACTTGTCATGTCCTGGACAGTGCGCCGCTCATGGCGGCAGATAACGTGGCTTAACAATGTATGCACAGTCCAGTGTCGGTGGTACGAGAGGCGGTATTGCCGGTGGGGGGTCACTATACTGAAATATGAGGAAAACCAGCAAGCACTACAATCAATAATAATCGACCAATCAGAACACGAATCAAGCGACCAATCAAACTCGCTCGCTTCAACCAGTCTGACATTCAAATATGTAGTGGGTGACTTGCAGTAAATGTGTGACACTGGGACGTTTTACATATAGAATCTCCGTCCAAACAATTGATCGATGATAGTTGGATTTGGTGAACCAGCTGAGAACTTTATATTTTTGGCTGAAAGCCTACAATATATATGGGGCACATACATACACACTACAAACCTTTGACGAGAACCGTGGGGTTGGGCATGTAATAGGTCAAATCGGAAACGGCCAAGTCGTCCAGCACGACACTGGTCAAGTTTGATATTGGAGGTTTGGATGATGTTGAGATAACCAAGTCGTTGGAACTCCGTCGGGGGGAAAGCACCCGTCGCCAGCCAGTGGGGACGGCGGTACTGTCTTTGCCTTGTACTCGATCCTAAATGCTTTGTTAGTGATCGTGTTGATGACAAAACCATATGACGACTATAGCGATGATGGTTTACGTGCAAAGCTTGAAGCTTGGAGTGCATGAGGGGCTTGTGCTTGGGTGGGGCGAAACGTTGAGCTTTCTTGAGGCTGGCATAGGCGGCGTCCCAAGCTAGCTGTGCACACTGCACGTCATATTGGGCCACACTTGCCACAAAGCAGCCCACGTCGTGCCCACTTTCCCAGCTCAATCTACGCTTACAAAACATCAAGAACACTGGGTTTCCCCCACAACATGATATATATATGTATACATACTGTATATATAAAACGCAGCATATATATATATATATATATAGTCGTACCGAAACGACGTTTCAATGTTGGCCATCGCTGCCGTGAATCGCTGGCCGCCCCTGCACTCGGCCAACGCAACGCCCACAAGCCCCAGCGCGTGGAGGTCCCCCCAGTCGAGACAGATCGCGCCTTCCACGACCATACTCAACAAGGACATGCCCATCACATTTCCCTCCAAAGCCAAGGCTAAGCCATGTTTGACTTGGTACGTTAGCGCCACTTGGAGGCCTCGGATGTCCAAGGTATGCTCGTGATGGGGCAAGACGGTACTACTACTACTACTACCAGTAGTAGTACTAGCAGTAGGCAAGTGCATGTACAAGGTCAAGAGGGATGCTTCGTAGGCGCTGGAATGCCGATCCTCGTAGGTCAACCCTGTATTGTCGCTTGGAGCGGCAGCAGGGGGCGATGGGGGGACGGGGGTATCTGCCGTTGTTTGAGGGAGTGGATTGAGCGAGTAGTTGGGGGTTAAGCTACACCAAAAAAGATGCTGTTTAGGACTCGCTTTCTCTCGAGGGTTGGTTATAGAGGAATAACACGTGAACAACGAACGTACAACGACCAGTTTCGACCGACGATGGTGCTGTGTGGGGATGCCACGTCGTCCAAGTCCAAGTGATCGATGGCGAGCGTATAATCTTGTCGGTGTAGGTAGTCTAGGAATTCTCCTCTGGATTGGTTGTGGCTAAAGCTCATCCAGCCAGTCTCCAAGTCAGCCCATTGCAAGATCACATCGTTGCGACGGGTAGCGACCGTCAGGCCGTGGGTCTGGTACGGCAGCCACACATGTGTCAGCGATTCCAGAGGCAATTGCTGCCAAGGTTGGAAGGACAACTCGTGGGGCGAAGGGAGTTGGGAAGAAGCATGACGAGGACGATACATGGCGCGGCTAGCAGGGGTGCTGGAGGGACTGGGAGGCGGCGGCTGCGGGATGTTTATGGAGCTAGCGGAAACGGTGCAGCAACGACACCGTCGGCTGGATTGAAATATGTGCAGCGTATGCTCATACAAAACAATCAAGTGGTAGCCATCGCCAGATCCATTAGCGACTGAAGCTGCGTCCCCCCGCAATTTCGCCAGCCCGCCAAACATGACACACTGCGGGCGGCAGTTACTCTGGTTACATCTGGTTGTCTAGGCGTTACATTTTTCAAGTTGCACGGCTTGAATGCGTGCTACTATATTGTATATATATATATATATATATATATCTGTATCTGTACTTGTGAGCATAAAATCAAGGCTGGACGTGCGTATTCATGTGATAGAGTGCCTTGGAGGTGTACATCACACGTACATTGAGTGTGGAACGCGGTGTAGTTGTCGAAAATATATGCATACTCGTATTACTAGAAATACAGTGTAGCTACACTTTTACATATACTGTACTAGTACCAGTACTGGATAGAAACTACACTTTTACATATACTGTACTAGTACCAGTACTGGATAGAAATATAAGTACTATTTCTATTTATACTATTAATATTAATAGTAGTGTGAAATCAGATATAATATGTATTGGAGGTCCTGTATAAATTAATTTCCCACCCCACCTCACTTCGCATTGTCTGGAGGAGAATGACGAGCAACTTGAACCAAGCGTTCCTGCAGGCGGCGCTGTCGGCGCGGAGTGTGGCGCCGACGCTGTCGCACAAGCAGCAGGTGACGCGTCTGTACAAGCGCTCCTTGAAGCTCTTGGACAGCTGGATCATCGACCGCCGCCTCTGGAACGAAGAAGCGACCAAGATTCGCGGCCAATTCAACGAGCATAAGCACACCGACATTGGCGCGGCCCAGCGACTGCTCCGTGAAGCGACCGCTGAATTGGAAAAGTACACGCACCCTGACCCGTATGTTGTCGTGCACATGCCCGGCGGGTCCAAGTTCATGCGCAACCCGCCGTTGCCGTTGGAAGTGTGCTTTCCGGACGGCATCATCCCGGACGACGTCGAAGTGTCGCCGGTCAAGGCGATCAACATCGACACGTCGCCATACCGCGAAGACGACTTGAAGCAAACCGCGTTGGTCGACTTCTCCACCAAGACGGCGTACTAAGCGACGCGAGCGACAGCATCATCTATTCGATCTCTCACCACGAACCCAGGACCTGCATCCCTAGACACGTGCTGCCAACGTGATGCCGTGTAATGCTCAATGCAAATATCCATGAATGTCGAGTATCCTACGCCCCCACAGCGTAATTACGGTATACTATTCCACGGTGTAGCTTAAAGCGTCATGCATCGCGGGTTGGCGTGGTTCTGCCAGTTCAACACATTGCAACTCGGTGGATTTGTATTCAATGCGGACATCTCAATTGTGTTATGATGCCTCTCGTTCGCCACTGCTGTCGCCGCCGCTGTCGTCTTCGCCGATCCGTCCGAGAGAAGGAGATCGTACACGTAGAAGTATCCGTCGCGGTGTGTATGGACATCGGATCTTTTGCCATCGCAACTCCTACATGATGATGATCAATCCAGACGTCGCGGACTCCACATCCACGGGTGGGGAGTACTCTACCTCGATGATCTCATGGGCGTCGCTGTCGATAGCGAGGAAGCCTCGAAGAGTGTCTACATCCACGCCATGGAATCCTTCCGCATGGTCGTCGTCTTGCTTGCGGCTCATCCTGTCCACAACTGAGTGTTCACAACTCTCGTGGTGCCATTGCCGCTACATCCACCAGAAGAAACCATGTCTGACTTAAAATACCGTAGAACAAATAGCATCGTTTGATTGGCTATAATGCAAACCTATCCACCAATCCAACCTCGTGAAAATCAGCGGTTGAAGTGCCGTTACATGGCGGTTTCAAGCGGGAGTTTCACAGCAAAAGGAGAAATGCTAGTTGCTCTGAATTTAACAACCTATACACCGCATGTTCAAGCCTAAATAATACTTCGAAGTAGCCCATACTGACGAGTTCGTCATATCCATGTCTGCGCAACTACTTTAACTCATTACTAGTTGCCCATCTCGACCCGTGTGCCACTTGGAATCCCTTTCAAAGATCTGCAGCGTTACCTGAGTAACGAATCACATTCACGCAACCATCCCAATAAGCACTCAATGTCTCATTGTAAAGTTAGCGTTAGCTACACGATGGAACTTGGACGATATCGTGTGAAAAAAGCTGCAAATTTTGAGAGAGCCCAATGTTGTCATCCAACTCCAAGCGGTAACACGTTTAGAGATGCAGCGACATCAAACCAGCGTAACATGCACTACAACGGTGAAGGAAGGTATGGTTAGTCGAATCGAGCATGCCTCCCAACCAAAATGCCCAACATCACAAGGGAGTGGTTATGGCACATGCCTCCGCTAGCTGGGGCACGTGTAAACTGTACAATACTACTGTAGTACAATATTGGACTCGTATATATAGTACTAGGTATTTTTGCATGCCCACAGTATACCTGTCACATACCACAATGGTTGCATTTTGGGTGGAGGGTGTTTGGCAACCCCTCCATTCCCATTTGTTTTCCAGCGAACAGTACATCCTTCAATAATGCACATGGACAATTTCCAATTACAAGCCAACCCCAACCATACCCACGGAGTAGTTCACCCCAGCCCCCCAAAACGCCCTGAACCCCCCCCCCACTTGATGCAACGTACGTATATTTCAAATACTAGAATTGATTAGTTTACAAAGAGTACGACGAGTACATACATTTACGCGAGCAGAGACGCGTGCAGGTCGGGCACAAAGCTAGCGCGCAAGTCGTCGTCTTCGTCGTGGTGGTTGGAAATCACAACGATGTACGCGCCGCCGCCCAAGATGGCGCCGACGATGGGGGCGACGATGGGGATCCAAAAGTAATGGTTTGCGGCCGTAAACACCCCCGAGCCCCATCCGGCGAGTGCAGTGAACGTTCGGGGGCCCAAGTCGCGGGCCGGGTTCATGGCGTATCCAGTGGGCATGCCAAAACTCATGCCAATCATTACCACAATCAGCCCCACGGTGAGGGGCTTCATGATCGGGTTGGTCGGCATATTGGTCGGGTCGTCCACGCTGAAGATGGTAAACACCAGCAGCGCCGTGGCCAGCATTTCACACACGAACGCGCTGCCTTGGTGCTCCCAGGACATGGGGTACGTGGCGAAGATGCCGGCGGTTTTGCTTACAGTGCGGTCCGGGTCCATAGCATTCAAAGCGGGATAGTACACGATAAACACAAACAGTGCCGCAATGAACGCCCCCACGAACTGACTCAGTGCGTACATTGGCACCTTCTTCCACGGAAACCGATTGTACACGGCCAATGCGATGGAAATCGCAGGATTCAAGTGCGCCCCGCTGACCCCCCCCGCGGCGTGGATGCCCAGCATGACCGCGAGCCCACACCCGATCGAGATGTGCGTGTAGTCTCCGTTTTTGCCTTCGCCCAACACGACTTGGGCCACCACTCCGTTGATAAACACCATCATGATGAACGTGCCGGCGACTTCCGCGAGACATTCGCGGACATAGTGACTACGGATGCGCCACCACGGGTAGATTTCCCGAGGGCTCGAGTTGTCGCTGACGACAATGGAGAGGTTCGTCATGGGTTTGTAGTCGTTGATCATGTTGATTTGTATGTGAGAGAGGCCTTGGAAATTCAAGAATGGGATCATCGTTGGGAATACTTACTGCATATACATCCTGGATCATTTTCAGAATTTGTATGGTGTCCAAACTACGGGGCATGTCACGGGAAATGTAACGGTGGTTGAAGTTGCGGATGGGATAGACACATCGTGTAGCTTGAATGTGTTGACGCAGTCTGACGAGAACGGGGCTATACTACTGGGCTTAGCATTACATTTCCAACTTGGTTATGACCGAGGTCGATATACATGTAAACAGTCTGTAGCCAAAGGCCCTATGCTGAAGGGGGGCGTTTGACGAGCGGACAGTCTTATTCGCAGTGTCCTGGTCGATTCAAAATATTGGCCACATCTCTCATCCATCCGCTGCTCCGTGAGGTATACATACCCAGGTGCCGCCCACTTTTCAATGTGGATTGCAAGTTTGACGACCAACCATTGACTTGATTGGATCGTTTGTGATCGATTAAATGAGATGCAACCAATCAAATCCTGGCATCGCCCCGTTGACAAGACAAATCAGGGTCTACGTAGCGCCTGTGAGTCACGTGGCAAGTCCAGGACGAGCCATGGCGGGCGTGCTTTTTTGTCGCCCACGGATCGTGTCAAACTAGCCTGCCTTGATCGTTTTGTCATATGGCCGTTTAGCAAACTGAGAACCCAATAGCGTCATGACCAGCCAAACGTGACGGATGGTTGATGCATCGAGGCTCGCAAAATGGAAGTGCCTTCGACATCGCCACCGTGCAGCCACGCCAAGGGAAAACATATATCGAGTCATGTTCAAGGGGGTACTCTATACATGACAAATCTGCACTTGCTCATGCAGAGGATGCCGTGTCCACATATGTAACAATATGTTGGAAAATGTTGTTGGCGCAACAATGCACTTCAACCGCGACATGTCGCCACTCACCCGTTCAGGGGTTCTGGTACCATGTACTACTACCAGCTACCGGTAGTACGTAGTACTCCGTATTAGTAGTATGTACAAGTGTCAAACCGCCAGAATTCCCAACTACAGTACTGTACTACTACTACAGTACTACTAGGACTATTAATCGTACTCCGGAGTACTACTTCGCAATACAATTGGTATATATGTACTACGTAGTAGTAGTATGTACCATGAGTTCGCCCTTGGTTCGTGACATAACGTTAGCGCCATCCGACCCGCCTTTGGAGGGGGCCTTAAGCAGTAACGGCATCAGGATGACCCTGCCCTGCTGTTAGAGCTTTCCCATCGATCATTTGGCATGGCAACGATGAAGTGGCACCATTCTCAAGAATTGACAGTGTGAGGTAAAATACCCGAAGTCTGCTTCGTATAAGTATGACCGAAGTTTTCGATTAAAACCGCGACGATACTGGACATTTGGAAGACGTTGTAGTAGGCGATACGATCTAATCCCATTGACTCGGCGGACAGCGGATGTTTCTACAACGTCCCCTTCGACGCCTCTTCCACCAACGCATGGGCCCAAAGGTTCGACAGGTCGAGGGCTACCCAATTCTTCCTCGTCCGCCACGGTGATGTGACGGCTGCAACGCCAAAGCTTTGTCGGCCCAGTCTCGCCTTGGTCTCCAGCGTGGCAGCTGGGCGTTGGAACTACTCGAGGGCCAGGGCTGTGGACACTTGGTGTTATTTCCGCACCAGCGTCGCCTTGACGCTGCTGTCATTGCTTTCCCCTGTGGGATGTTCGCGGATCGTTGTGCCCCATGGTTAAAACTTAATGTAAATTAAGTGCCTTCTTGTCGATCAAATGACAAAAAAAAGTAGTCTGGACCTTTACTCCCCATTTGTACCTTCACGTGGAAGTCACTTCGAGCAATGAGATTCCACTTTGTAAACCCTAACTACCACAACGCTTGGCAATGAATGCAACTTGGAAGAGTTGCGACGCTGTTGGTGTTTTCACTACCGATCGAACTCGGACCTCACAAGATCAAATGCCACTTTGGTACAACCGGCCACTCGTCGGACCTTATCTCTATCCTCGTGGGTCAGACTTACTACTGATTCTACGTACTAGTAGCAGTGGCTAAACGAAGCGCAGCGAACAATCACGTGATACGCTAGTATTCAGGCAGTCAGTCATTGTTGATTTAAACTACAATCCAAAACTCTGCGACTACCACCAGCAGTAGCTTTTCGACCTGCTACGAGTAGGGCGTGGAGGCGATGGGCGCGGCCGTCCTTCTGAAAGTACTCGGGGCAAGGGCGACGTACACCCACGAAGCCATCAGTGGCAGCTTCTGCGCCTACAAGGGTACAGCGACGCCGTGGAACACGACTCGCACACGATCGGGACCATGGCGGGGGATAACGGCATCGTTGTGGCCCCTCGTGCCCAGTGAATTGCGTGCACGGAATTGTCCAAGGGGTCTGTCTCGGGCGACAAGCTGACCGAGTGCACGCAGTTCATGCGTCGCCCCACCAAGGCGGGCGGGACTGAGCCCGACTGTACCAAGTGGTCTACAATAGCTGGGCTTCACGTCCGGTTACAGCCCGTGGATGGAGGATGAAGGCGGCGGCCATCATCCCCGCCTTGTTCATCGGCAACAGCGGGCCTGTGTGCGGCACCGTGGGCAACCCCCGGCGGTGACAGCACCGACATTGGCGTGGGTCAGCCACCGACGGAGATAAGGACGACCTCCTCGCGTTCTTCTCGTCCAAGGGGCTCCAGACCGGCAACGGCGCCGCCTATTTCAAGCCGGATGTGTCGGCATATTCACCCGGTCCGCGGACATCGCCGCCAACACACAGTACGCCGCCAAGATGGCCGGCATGTCCATGGCGTCCCCCCATGGATGTGGCGGACGTGGTGGCCATCGTCAAGAGCGTCAACCCTGCCGCCACGCACGACCAAATGGTACAGTACCTCATGGTCTCCACCGATCGGGCCTCGCTCAACACGACCGAGCCCCGTGGTATGGACCTACGACACCGGCACGTACCCGGGGCACCCAACCGTGGGGGCGTGTGGCCCAACTACGGCGGCGTCAACGTTGGTACCATCCTCCGCTGCACGATGACCGCCGCCCCACCTGCTAAATAAATACCCTCATCGTAGAGTATTGTTTTACTAACGTTATGTAGTAAGTCGTACGAATTGAGATATAGTCCTACAGCAGAAAGTCCAACAAGATCGTGAACGTACGTACTTCATTCAATTGCACAATTACCACGCATAAGCCCAAGATGAGACATGTACTGGGTACATCTGTGACGTGGCAGCAGCAGTCCCATCAGAATCAGAGACGAGATACAAGTCCAAGCTGTCGACTCGACCGAGTTTGGAGTGATCTTATCGAAATCCTGCCCTTGTTTTACTGTTAGTCAACGTCAATACTAACTACTGTATACACCCAGAGGACATTATAAACGCTATTTTTTAGTAGGATTAATCGATCTTGATTAATTGTTTCTTGTTGTGAAATCCCCAAATAATTTGGACTGATTCTCCAAAATCGATCGATGATTCGTTGTCCTGATTGAATGTCAAAAGTGGTGGCCATGTGGCGTTTGTAATCACACTAATTGAAGTCCCACACTAATTCGACGTTCATGAAGGTGGTTTCCTGCAATCGGATTGGCTCCATTCTTCTGCCGGCTCTTGTACATTTGGTGTTGTGTCGATTCATTTTCTTCATGTCGGTCCAGTTTAGAAAAAACACAACAATATCACATGTCTAAATGTCCAAAATCGTGCGGATTTCTTGCGGAGTGTGCACTAGTGTACTCGGGGGGTACGGAGGCCGATGATTGGTCACAAACGCATAAACAGCATCATATGCCCCGTAGAGCAAGTCGGCCGTGCGGGACGCGGCCGCGCGGCGCCACTCGGGCGCGCCGATGCGATCCAGCACAGGCACATGCAGCGCCATGACGTGGGTGCAGAAGCGGTGCACACTCACGCGGACGACGTCGGGTTCCAACCCAGCCTACATACAAATAATGTACAGTTGGTTGCACTTAGATGCAGGACAAGGGGACACTGGCGTCCATTGTATGTATGTATATATTGTCAAGTCGATTCGAAATTGGAGTGGGGTGTTCAATCGAATGAGTAACACCCACATCGGCAGACAATCGATATACAGTATCGACCAATCAAAACCCAGAACATGAATCAACTACCCAATCAAATCCACTCTTCAACCAATTCAACATCGAAATAGTGTGTGACTTCAATTAGTGTGACAGTGGACGAATTTTACATACAAAAGTCAGGACAAAGAAAATCGATGGATTTGCACAAGTCCAAAATTAGAGTAAAAGGACAATATATATATATATATATATATATTTACCTGAAACGACTCGGTATGATCGTTTGGTGCTGCGACATCGTCAGCATGCTGCTGTGAAGCCAACCACACCGACGACATGCCACTTCGTTGGACGAGTCCGTCAGCCTACAACACGTTAACTCCATCGTCAGCTTATCTGGTGTATCGAATTCAATAGATCCGAATATATATATATATATATGAATATTATATATATATTGGCAACGGTGTTGATACCTGAGCTTTCGCCACCGACTCCACCACCAATATTAGGGCCGCATGCACCTTGTCGTGCCATACCTTTGTCGCTTCCAGGCGGCCCAGAGTGGTCTGACCAATCCAAGCAAAGTGAAAGCGAGTCAGCCAATCAAATGCAATCAAATAACATATTTCATCCAATCAAATAAATTCAAATATGTCATGCAATCGAATCAATTCAATCAAATACACTACCCAATCAAATGAATTCAATCAAATATTAAATAAGTAGATATATCTATGTCCCAACTTACATGGACACACGCCAATTGGTTGATTGCAAACACATTTCGCTCGATCGTAGCCGCCGAAGCATCCAACGGCAATAGCACGGTCTGCACCAACGGGTCGAGCACCTTGGCCAATTCCGCGGCGTCGATGCCGTGGGGTAATAGAGCATTCACGTAGCTGTCGATCAAGTGGCCCTATATATATATATATATATATATATATATTGTGTATTATTCGTACCAGCTTGTGCGTCAACTCCAACGTTGGATGGGCCACGCCCAAACCAAAGTCCATATTGTCCGTCCAAGCTGCACGGTATTGATCCAACTGCACTTGCCACAACGTGGCAAACTGAGCTTCCGCCAAGCTGTGGGTTCTATCTCGGAATAAATAAATAATAAATATTGTGAATTCACTATAAACTTGCAAAATTCGCGTGGTTTGTCGAATCACTATTGAATCACGCTGGAGTTCTGATTGGTTGAATATACAATTGTCCTTTCTGTAAGAGCCAATCAAATAATCCACTCAAAATTGGATTAGCCAATCATAGCGTCGATTCGTGATTCGATATTCGGCAGCGAGATTCGATTCGACGGGGTCTGGAAATTCATACAATAAATCGGGCAACATATAAAACGATAGGAAATAATCATCATTCTGGACAGACATGGTCGAATATAATCCATACATGGATAAATATGAATAAGAAAAGTATCTAGTACAAACGTGTGTAAATGGATAAAGTGTGGTCCAATTTAAAAATATATAGATACATACATGATATTATATCCGACATTTATTGTGCTGTTCACCCAAATTGACCAAATAATGAATAGGGGATATGGTTGAAATCGATACCAAATCGATCCAAGCAGTGTGATTGGTTAAAAAGAATGAAGACAGCCTTATGATTGGCTCAAACGAATAACGTTACCTCTTAATATGAGCTTTATATGATGCAATTGTGAACGATATCATTCAAAGGACAACATTGGGTAAAACAAACACACTAATATCCTTATATAATACAATATCGGATATATTGAACTGCATACATCAAAAAAGGAGTTGACCTACTCGCGTATACACGTGGCAAGCTCTGATTGGACAGAAAGCAGCGCCGACAGAACCGAATCATAGTACGCAAGGACATGCACCACAGAGTACACTTGGACTAGATTCGTGGTTGGGCCTTGAATCACTTGGTGCAGCCGCACCTACTCGACATATATTTTTATATTTCACAATTTCGAATATTTTCCAACGAGAATATATATATATCGTATACGGTCGCCCGAACAATCGTCTAATACTAGTACCTGAAGGGGTCGACTGAGCCCAGCGCTCGCACTGCTGAGGGCATCGCGGACGTGATCGCTGTCCAAGAGTCTCTACTCATCACAAAAACATATTTTATAATCACCAGAACACACAATATATATTACAATAATAAAATACTATACAATAATAAAATTTCATACAATACGAGACCCACGAACATTCTCTACACATACATCACCCCAAGATATATTTCATAAACATGACAACACACAATATATATATATATATATAATAATATTGTCTAGTCGATTCGAATATGGAGTGTTTGGGTGCATATCCATCAAATGAGCAGAATGACCAAATCGGCAGACAATCGATGATCGACCAATCAAAACCCAGAATACTAATCAAGTAGCCAATCAAATGATCCACTCTTCGACCAATGCAACACCCATATTAGTCGGACATTTACAAAAGTCAGTCCAAAACAGAATCGACCGATAGATATTTGGCGAATTAGCCCAAAACTTCAGCCAAATTTTGGGTAAAAGGACAATATATATATATATAACGTACAGCAAAGAATTCCGTGTCCCCAACAAGCGTCTGATGCACCCACGCGAGCATCTCGGCCGCGTACCGAACCGGATCGTGGGCGTGGATTTCGATGGGGCGGGGGATGCCCACAGTCAGCGCATGCACAAACTTGCGCAATGTGCCCGTCCGGCGGGTCTGGGCAAGGGCGTCCACACAATATCTATTGAATACACCGCCAATCTGAGATATGGTGATGATGTATCGCATATAGTCGGGCCACGCAAAAAATATATTAATCATTTAACTAGTTTTTGTCCCTTTGTAAACTCCAATTTGATCCGATCGGACAAGTTTAATATAAAAATGATTACTAGTGTAGGTGCGTTAACAACTGTTTTTTGATAGTACAGTAGGTATAGTGCAAATGGCCTAAGGGTTAATTTTTTTTTTATTTTTGGCATTCTCACATGTTTTTCAGACGACCAATGAAATCAAAGCAATTTGTATCATGAGCCAATCATCAGAAGGCATACAAGCTAGCGCTGGAAGTAGTCATTTGGAATAGAGGAAGAGTTTGCCGACAATCAACATAGTGACTCGTTAATGACGTAGAGTATAAAATATAGAAACAAATAGTTTGATCTTTCATCTCGATATATCTTTAGTCTAGAAAAAAAATATATTGAAATTTGTTCCTCTCGATAGGGAATATTTTGATATTTAATATCAAAAATACGTATATATTTGTTCATCTCGATAGTATAGAATAGAAATATAGTTTGATATTGGTGAATCTTTCTCCAATCTCGATCAATCCCATTTGTTTTTTTATCATCATTCCAGGGGCAAAATATACGAATGTGTCGTTCATTCCTGCCACAACGCCATCGTATGTAAAGTTTATACACCCCCACGTCGAAGATTCAATATATATATATATATATATATATATAGAAGCAACTAACGCGTAAGCTGCAATATCTAAAAATATCTAAAATATCTAAATTATAAATAAATAAAAATCAGATCGAAACTTTCCTTTATTTTTAATAATTTGTGGATATATATATATATATATATATACAATCAGACCAATCACATTTGACCACCCACAAGAGAATTCACAGGTCGTACGTGTAATACGCAGCGTGGCCTCGCAGAAACCGAAGGGCCTGAGGCAGGAGTCGCGCCACGTCATCAGTCGAGTCATCCTGCAGGTCCGACAGGTGATCATCTGGAGCGTCCGCGGCATTGCACAGGACACTCGCCCACGCGTAGAGCTTCTCAAACGCTAGTGCCTGGGCCTTGCAGATGTCCTCGAGGTACTCCAAGCTGCTCGCGGCGGGGTTGGTTGCCACTAGATGCTCGCAGTTGGACCGAATCGTTTGCAAGCGATGGAGGAGCTGAAAGTACGACGTCATGGCGGTGCCGTGGGACTCGGTCAACGGCGCCGCCTGTTCGAGAAGTTGGAGATCGTCGAGCGACACTTGGTGCTTTTGCAGAAAGTCCTTGGTCGAATCGAGCTCCAGTTGAATCGCGTCTTGCTCGGCTCTAGATTGTGCAAAAAGTAAACAAGGAAGGAGGGTTTGAGAAAGGACAGGCGGCATGTACCGAAGGGCGGCGGCCTGGGCCACGAACTGCGTGGAAGTGCGCTCGGTGGAGTCGAGGAATGCCATCACGTGACGACACTTGCGGTCCATGATGTCTGCTTGTTTCTTCAACGCGTCCATGGAGGACAACAGACCCTCCGTCTCCCGCAACACCGCGTCCGCCGCGTCCAGACTGGCCACGTCAAGGCTGGATTTGAGGGAGGCTCGTAGCTCCATCGACGACAGGGACGCAGCGTCCTTGGGAAGGAGGTCCGGGAGCGAGTCCAGCAATGCCTTGGCCTGCGTGAGCTCGGACGAGTTGGACAGGAGCTTCTTCACGCGATGCTGCAGCAACATGGACATATTGCCAAGACGATCAAAAGTGTGATGGAGGCATCGAGTCCGGATAAGAATCTTGAGTATTTTAAAATGCATTTTAAATGTTCCAGGGGTATAAAACAAAAAATGTCTCATGGTATTATGGCCAATCAGATACAAATCGTTCAAATCCGTTGGTTTGATTTGTCATAAACAGTACAATTTCGAACTAAATAGACCAATCAGAGTTCAAAATTTAGACTTGATCTACTTCAAAGTAAGTGATATATTGACTGTATGTATACTCCGAGTACTACGTTTGTACGATAAAATTCAATTTTGTTTCACCTTTTCATATATCCTTGAAACATGCAAATATTTCCGGACCGAGGTACAGTATTTATAGTACTACAGTACTCCAGAGTACGTAGTATTGTCCAGGTATGATTAATTATTACTAGTACCTTCCATACATTATCGATATTAGTATTGTCAAATCGATTCGAAACTGGAGCCCTCAGCCGAATCGAAAGGCTTCACCCAATCGGATGGCCGAGATTTGGATTCAAGAACCGCCTAAGCCAATCAAATCACGTTGTGGTAAATTTCTGCCAATTCAAACGTTTGATTCGGCCCAGTCCCTTCACATTAGGCAAAACCACATTTACACTTGAAGTATATTATATATATACTCCTTGTCTTTGTATAGTACTGCATAGTAGTTAGTATTAGTTATTTGTACGAACTTCAACTGGTTCAAATGGATTTTTCGAATGCTAATTGGCAAAAACGACTCGGTCCACGTCCACAAAGGTGGGTGAAATGCACAATATCTATCAACTGGTACATTTCATCCAAATGTGGACATTTGATTTCGCCAAATATAGCATTCGAATCCATTTAATCTTATTTAAGCTTGTACAAACTATACAAAGATAAGACTATAATACATGGTTTTGCCTCATGCGTTGTATTTGCAGAAATTAGACAAGACGTGATTTGATTGGCTGTTTTTTAATCCATATTCTCTTAATCGATTTGAAGACAATAGTACTACTGTAAATAATACAGTCTCCTGGTTCTTTCCCCACAACAATTAATATGGCAAGATGGGCATGTCGACCAACTGCGTAGGCATTAAGACGCCATATGCACCCTTGGCGCCCATGTCCCGCAAAGTTGCAGCCTTATTCGTGGCCACATCCTCCGTAGCCGAATACAGCGCCGCGCCTTTGGCTTTAAAAGTGCCGTCGAACGCGATGGCCGTGAGATCTTTGGGCGTGAGGCCAACATTGTTGCGAAATGTGTACATGATCTTCTCGTTGAGACGGGGGATGATGGCTGTCCAGTTGGTCGCAGTGATGTTGGCCACGGGGAGGGTCTGCGACAGCGTTATATGACCAACCAAAATACATATAAATATACCTCGGGTCGGCGATGCATTTGCAGCTGAATCGTGTCCACGATAGTGTCGAGGCCGGTGGGAAAGCACCGCACGGTCGGGTTCTTGGCGCCGCACCCGCCTGTGGTGTTGTTTTTCTACAGATCCCACAATGTGGTCATGCTCACTCTGTCGCAGAAAAAAAAATATATATATATTGTCGATTTGATATAAATTTCGGGGTGCAATCGAATCGTTGCGCCGACCAAACCGATCCACAATCGATCTGATTGGTTGTTGAATTTCATTGAGAAGGTTTGGATTGGCTAATAAGTTTGAGCTCATCTGAAGTAGCCAATCAAATCGATTTAAATTCCAACGAGAAACCACGCCACAACACAATGACATTTCACTCGAAAGCACAATATATATATATGTGTTGTGGTTATATTCGAAACAGGAACGACATGGAGAATGAAGAATCATCGATACAACCAAATAAATGGACAGCAGAATCATCGGCACAAGAATTGAGCCAATCAGATTGCAGGAAACAACCATCACCAACATCGAATTAGTGTGTGACTTTGAATTAGTGTGATACCAAGCACCACATGGTATGTTTTGACATACAAAATGATTCAAAAAATCGATCAATAGAGTTACAAAATGATTCAAAGAATCAATAGATTTGGCGCTTCAAACGTCCAAATTTTTTGGGTAAAAAAGAAGACAATATTCGATCGACCAACACCAATACATATGCTTCGATATAATAATCCTGTATTGGCCAATCAAATACTACTTTTCGCTTCAACCGTTCAACATAGAATTCGTGTATTATATGCTTCGACTTTATGTGACACTGGTCAATGTTTTCATACAAAACTCTATATGTGTCACACTCGATCAGGATATGAATTACAAATCCATCCAATAGGTGATGGGTAAAACGGCAATCGAAACAATACGATTTCGAATATTCGGTACAAATGTCCAGACCCCGTCGACTCATCACGAATCGACGCTGTGATTGGCTAATCCATTTTTGAGTGGATTTTTTGATTGGCTCTTGCAGAAACGAGACACGTCGTAGTATATATATTCAACCAATCAAAAGTTTCCACCAAGTAATTCGATATTTTGATTCGACAATATCAATACGCGAATAATTCACAACAATACCACTGGATTTCGCGCAAAACTACACACACCAAGATAAAAATCATCATATAGTCAAATCGATTTGAAACTGGAGCCCTCAGCAGAATCAATCGAATGTCTTAGGTGAATCGATTAAAGAACCGCCTAAGCCAATCAAATCACGTCATGTCGAATTTCTGCCAATCCAAACGTTTGACCGCATTATTGGGCAAAACCACATATATATACTAATCTTTGTCTATATAATTTTTGAATAGTATAGTGTGTACAAGATAATTAAATAGGATCAATTCGAAAGCTATTTGGCGACGTGACTCACTCAAGTTCAGATTTGGGCGAAATGAATACATATACATACCCCCGTGTCAAATGCAGCGGCATATTCGTCCCACGACAGCGTAAGCCGCGGTTCCTCCGGTAACGCGGCGTCGTCGAGGCCTTCCCGGAGAGCTTTCATGGCCTTGAGCATGAACGGGCCGCGGGTCCACACGCCCGCCGCGGTGTTGCCGGTGGGGTCGGCAATATTGAGGCCATCCAGCTTCAACCTAGTCAAACGTCAAGTGTATGACGTGGCAACACCCCGTACGTTTTGACCCAGTCTGTGGCTGTCGACACAAACGTGGGCAGGTTGGCGTCGTCCAAGGCCGCAAACGTGCTGTCCTGGGCGGAGATGTCCCCAATGACGCCGATTTGGCGGATGCACCGGCTACGTGGATGTCCGTGGTTACATGCATCGAGGATGAGAGAAGACGACATACGTGCGGAGCTGCAGCATACATTTGGCGAGGGGGGTGTTGTCCTGCTCGTCGACGGGGGCAACGACGGCGCCAGTGGCGGCGTTCACGGTGGCGAACGACCAGTACACGTGGCTCACAAATCGGGTTTCGGCTTCTTCGACGAGCTACACGGATGCAGGTTAGAGTACAACGGACATGGGGTCGCGTGCCTTGGAGCAGTTGGTCTTGGTGTCCCAAGATACGGCCATAAACTTGTCGTCAGCGATGAACGGGATGCAACCGGCGCAGGTGTTGTGGAGGGGATCGTAGTAACTCCCGCGCGCGCAACGCCGAGCCTTGCGGCTGAGTTCGCGCCACGTGATTGCGTGGTTGATGGCAGCACATCCTCCTGTGAGGATGTTCTCTTCATTGAACTGCGTGGAGACGAGACCCCCAGTGAGTTGGTCCAGCCAGCCACTGTCGTACAGAACGTTCCCCATGTAGAAGATGGCAAACACCATCGTGAGGGCGATGGGAAGCGGCCACCAGTGGAACCCGGCCGAATCTTCGGACAGAGATATCTTCCCAGGTCGATTGATGCGCGGCAGGGCGGCGCCGGGCGACTTCACCATGTTGGGCGATTTCATGTTCATTTCGGCCGAGATTACAATGTGCGAACAGGTGGAATACCTATGCGCCCGGATAATACTTGCGATGTACGGATAACCGAGTTAAGCGTTGTACGTCTTAATCGGTTAAATGCGTCTTATTCAACTGTCATTGACATCACTTGGTTTGACGTGGGCTAATATGTTTAAACATATCTCGCACGGCAAGCTTTTGACGTGTAAGCAACACGGTCCTGTGATTAGTCGTCGTAACTTCTTGATGAATCCATTGATATTATTGGTAAAAACACAACGTTTTGACCAATGAAAAGTATTAGCTGGTTGGCAAGTAGTACAGACAGAGGCTGCATGACTCTTCCTATTAATAACATCAAGTGTAATAATAACAGAGTGTTACCGGTATCGTTGTTGCCACTGTGAGTATTATGGTGCAAGTCATCTACTAACGTGACCGACCAGTGATCCGCCAACTGACCAATGATCCGCCAAAACTTTTTATCCAATAACATGGTTTCTCGAATTGTATTGGACAAAACAAAACCTCTTACAATATTGACCTCGTGAGAAATTATGGAGGCAAAACTTATCAACGTTAAGAGGTTTTCGATTTATCTCCTTCCGCCGTCACCGCCGCGTGGGAAAACCCCAAAATTTCTCCAAACCGATTCGCCGACAGGTACCCCTGGCCTCCGCATCGCTCGCGGCAGACACTCACGACGTTTTCCGCGTTCCATGACACCGCCGGCTTGATTGCCGAACAGTGCACGACGAGCTCGAGGCGGTCCAGCGGATCCGTCGACTTGTTCCATACCTTGTACTTGTCTTTCACCACGTTCAGGCCGTGCGCGGGCCACGAGTGGCAGCAGTGCCTGCTTTTGCAGGCCATAGTGCAGGATGGCTGTGTCCGACTTGCCCTTGGGACCGACCGTCGCGCGACTCGCCGCATATCTAGGCATCACACCCTTGGCATTAGGAGAATGAATAGGCGACGAAGGAGTAGTACCGCATCGCAATCGCCAGCGACAACTTGGTGCCGCCCATCAACATGGAGGCAATGCACACGCGGCCACTGAGCAATTGATCTGCACAACCAACATAAGCATCATGAGCATATGACGATATATTTGTGTTTCGAAGGCCAACCTGCGACGGCCTAGAAACGGCCGCGTTTGCTGGACACGTGGCTCGTGAATGTTCCGTCGCCGCTGACTTGGGAGAGCGCGTCGAGCATGTTGGTGCGGGGAATGCGGACGTTGTCAAAGAGAATTTTCCTGTCCACACAATAACCAAAAGAGATGCCATGAATTCACGAGTCATATCAGGCGGTGGAGGATGGACGGACGGACGAGTACCCGTTGTCGACGCCGTTGCAGCCCATCTTGTGGCCCA